TATACAGGCAACACACTTGTCCGGCATGTAATGGGAAGGGCCGTAATTTATACGCCGAACGTCACATCATAGAGCGACCAATCGCACATCGCGGGAGCCAATGTTTGGTTGGACATTGCAAGCAAAATTAAATGCCGATATATCATATCCTGAACACATCGATCCTCAATAGCCTAAGTGTCCACGGCGTTATCAGCCCAGCTAGGAAAAGTTGGCATACTACTGCTTCTCGGAACGTTCGTTCGGCTGAGAGCAAGAAAGACACACAAAGGGCAGTCAAGACTATCTCGCCCCGTCACTACCACCGAGACCTTAGGACCGCGAATGTACCAGCTCGCATACGGCCAGACAAACGTATACGTCCTTACAACCGAACACGCTAGCAATGTCCAAAAACGAAGAAGCAAGCGACGTGACCGGCCCCTCGACTTGCAGCTCCGATTGATGTGTTCATTTGAGGGAGGGAAGATGCTGTGTGTCAACTGAAAGTTGAACCTCCTTATGTGCGCACGAACACCCAGCTCGCAACCGACAGGGTGAACGTTTGTCGATTGACTGCACTCATCATGTCTGTAGAGAGAAATGCTAGTGGGTAGAGTACACGTACTCAGGATTGTCGTGCATTTGTTCTGATTACCGTGCCTGCGTGTTTGGGGTACTGCTGTAAAAGTCGGTTTGCCGATACGTCTAGTATGCTCACTCGGATACAACGGGGAAACTCGGAAGCGGCGCGTTAACATCGTTATGGTAGGTGACTGGCAGCAGCAGATCTGAAATGGGACCCAGGAGGTCCAACATGCGTGCGAGTAAAGCCTATTGATCTATTTAAAGCAGAGTGCGCGACCTTGTATGATGTCGTTGCCTATGGGCGTCCAGTGGGTCGTGCGGTAAAATTGCTGTAGATGCTCGAATTGTAGTGGTATTGCGGCTGCCGTCAATTAAACTGGGAGACACAGAAGGAAAGTTAGCAGCGGGGTTTCCGCAAGGAGTAAAAGAAATACAGGAAAGGGAAGAAGGACGGCGTCAATAGTAGTATAAATTTCTCTTGTCAGCCCTTCTGTGTGTAGCAGGTAGGGCGACCATCGTATAGCTGCGTGACGGCCGATGCAGGATGGGGTTAAAGTTTGACGGAACAATCATGGTTGTACGTAAACTGGAATACACCTAGACAAGAGAAGGATTATGGTTTTCAACCGAAGGCTTTGTCTCAAAACCCTCTCCGCTATAATCGTCTAACTTGAAATGGAGAAGACTTCTGAGCGAGTCCTTCCCGCTTATATCTTATCTAAATTAGCTGCACATGGCATCGGTCAACTTTGCCTGTCGTGGTTCGACTCGTATCTCACGAACAGAACCCAAGTTGTCCATATGCATAATGGAACAAATCCGCCGAAGCCAGTCACTAGTGGCGTGATACAAGACAGTGTCCTGGGCCCTTCATTATTCCTACTAGATTTGAATGATGCTTTTGATGACTCTATCTTTAGCAAAACTTTTCTATTTGCCGATGCTATAAAGAGTGTGTACACGTTTACCCTCACTGACGTCAGTGATATTTTAACTGCCATCCAAAGTGAGTGATACGTGCTTGATTCATGATGTTCTAAGTGGAAAATGTCATTCTGCGTTGACAAATGCCAGTGGTAATCTACAGATGTGAACACACACGGGTTCTTTTGCAACTGACGGTAAAGCTCTATCACAATACTAAACCATCCATGACCTAGGAATACATTACACGAACATCCCAAACTTCGCTGAACATGCCGGACGCACTGCAGCTAATGTTCGTCGGAGCATCGGGTTTCTTTTCAAAACTATCACTCAAAAGAATCCATTAACGCCCTCTATAAAGCACAGATATGGCCCTTACTGCATTATGACTCCATAATCTATTACAATTTTAGGGTGAGTGACCGTATAGGATTAGAATGATTGCAACAATAATTTATCAAACCTCTCATGGGTTACTTCGCTACGTTCTCATATATGGATCGATGCATTATGGCCGCATCGGATAAAACTGAACCTTTTCGTCTTTTTTGCTATCCTAACGAAAAAAATACATTCATCAACTTCGGTACTACAACTAGAAGCACTGGTAATGTATCGCACTAAGAAACAACAACAACAACCAACCAAGTATCAGTGAAAAGATCAAGAACTATACAGTCGGACAAGGTTTTCCACAACTGATACTCCATATTATTGAACAGCCTTCCTAGTGAGATACGTGAACTCCAGTCAGGGATACAATTTCGTAAGGTATTACATTCACTTTTCAGTGTTGCAATAGCTACTAGTATGTTGAGGTCAAATATGTTAAATGAATGTCCCTATGAAACGAGCGAGATGGATAGGATTTAATTGCTCTGTTTCTTATTTTCGCTTAAATCCATTGATTCCACCAAGGACAACAGAGGCCTTGATACCTTTTCAGTAACGAGAATCTTCCACCAAACGTTATATCTGAGCATTTGTTCGACACTGCTAATTATGTTCTCTTCCTTTTTGGAGGTCACATGCGAGTGATATGCTATAGTTTGCCCTAATCTACAAAATGCACTTCGATTACAACTTCCGCTTTTTCGATTGGCTTCGTCCGATGGAACCAACTGAAAATCCTTCAGGAGCTGCACTGATTGTAACTACTTCGAACGCATTGCCGAAAACAGTCCTATGTTTAGTACCTTATTTGCCCTCTTCCATTGATTGTACAATTGGTCACAGACAAGTGGCAGATCCTATCACATTCGAGAAAAGCACATAACATTTACCCATCGTAGTTTTTATGCTATTCTATTATTTTTCTTTTCCTTGGTTGGTCATTACTGGACCGGTCTCCTGAGGTGATAAATGAAAGCTTTCAAGATAGATACTTATACCCACACATGGCGAATGGCCACAAACCCATCGGCGAGAAACCGAGGTGCTGTAATCAAAAAACGAGCCTAAATGCTGACGGTCCATTACATATAACAGCGGCCATACGATAGAATCTTCGTGATGATGGCCTATTACTTAGAAGAGCGGCCAAATAACCTAATCAACATAAAAACAGCTTGCTTCCCTTAATTTCACATGGCCAGATGAGACGTGGGAGTGCGGGTGAAACCTATTGAGAGACCACCCCGCATGGAAGCAGGTCCCCAGGAGACGGCTCCACGGATGATCGTAGTACTTCACTTGAACTGCTGGTTATACCTATATTTATTCCTGTGCTCTAGTTTCCACCTTACTATAACTTTTATATCATCGAGCAACACAAAGCCTCGCTTGAACTATATCGTGAAGTTCAAAACTTCTCTCTGTTATCTGAGTATGCCATAGATAATAAGCGAACAACCCCTTCGACCTGTGTCTCGCACCGCTGAGAAATATACAGTTTATTTAGTTAAAGCAGTGTGGAGGTGGCAATGGTTCATTTTTACAGAAATTAGCGTAATTCTGTTTCCAAGCCCCAACTGCAGGACCAGGAGACTGAGTTTATCTGACTGTTAACTAATGAACAACCTGGTAGAAGTAGCTCTCAAGGGGACCGTAGGGCCTCACCGAGAATAGTTCAATGGCAAGGGAAGTCCTGACATCGGAAGCCAACCGCTGTCCTCTGCACAAACAGTAACTTGCATGACAGTAGAGGATGGATCCGGCTATCTCGCAGTTAGATTTCAATCCGTGTTGGTCAGCTATTGTCCCCCATAGCTCAGTGAATCAAACTGCTGACTCGTGGCGAAAGTCACTAGCGGTTCTGGGTCCGATCCACATCAGGGCACCGATGGAATGCGCACCAGCAGAGCAGAACGATTGCCATTTGCTTTTCCGGATTGGTAGCCCAAATTTGAGGCCTGTAATCGAATTTCGATGAAGTGAATGAAGTCATGACTAAAACGCAGCAACGCGTTTACTGCATCTGTAGCCGTATTTTTTGGACCCTCAGCAGTCCGGAGGTAGAGGAATTTCCTGCCTCCCCTAGCGAAAGCCACTGACACGTTTGCACAGCAGGTTGGAGTTAGCGCTGTAGGTTTTCTCCATGTTCTGTTGATTTGCGGCTTTGGATTATCTAAGCAGTTGACTGCAGGGCTTACGTTTGGCTACGTGGTCGCTCCAACTATCTGACCATGCTGCGTTGCGTAGGAACATCCATTTTCGGGTCCTGCTTCCGAAATAAACGGATTTAGGTCCACAGCCAACCCTTGTATCTGAGGCATCCGTAACCAGTTGATTGGGAAGGCAAGCCATCACCGCACATTAAGATCTAGTCTCGTTTTGACAGTTAGGTTTATTTAGCCGTGATCGGAAAGAAGGTCAATTCTCAGTCAAAATGCAATTCAGTTTCCCTGTTTTTCTATGGAAAAAAGGACAATGTCCCAGTTTCATGGCTTGGAAAAATTCGGCTTAATGACAATGGAAGCCGAGCTGATCGTCGTGTCACTTATTTTTTGATTGACCAAGGGATTTGTTGAGTGTTCAACTTTCCAAGTTATTTCACTTCCATTGGAAATTGGGATACTTAGGCATTTGACGGCAAAGCTAGCTCACCGATCAATGTATGAATTCCCACGGAAGAACAACCGTCGCTATAACAACTTACTGGCTCTTCAGTAATACGTCTGGTTCTGCACCGAGTACCAGAATTATGTCGTAACTATGATGGGGATGGTGAAATGTGTTCCCAGTCCACTGCTCCTGCTTATTTCTCTGGAATATCAGGCGAAGTATCGTAAACTATATAACACGCGTTAATATTTCAAGGAACGCTCTGTGTATCCCTCGCCATAATATCTAATCCTTTACCATTCATAGTCATCAACTGCCGGAACTTTGGCTTAACCAATGCATATATGTTTGAGTAGGCCGGACGTTAATATCCTCCAATTTTGCCTACAACCACTTTGGTGATCCTCACTAGTTTAGTACAAGTTACAAAGTGCCAATTTTGTATTCATGAGTGGCTTTAATCTAAACAGTATGTGCTATCTGTATTCTTTATACATCCTTACCTAGACTGCAATGTTTTCACCCTGGACAACATATCAAGGTGACCGGCAGAATACTGCTCTATCACATCCTTGACATCGTAAGGCCGTAGAGCCTCGCGAAACTTTCTTCTTGCGACCAAAAATCGGATCTTTCGAACAATCCTGATTACGGTCTTGTCTTGTTCTGTCAGACCACGGGGAGTCATCGATGGACTTCGTTCACCAAGATACCCGACCTCTGAAACTTCATTTGCATCCGCTGTATTATGCGTATAAGATCGTCGACTAGCCCACTTCCAAGGGGCAGGACTGTTTGACCTTGGGCTGAACTGCTCAACTTCTGTATCCAATGCCTCCGGCGCATCTACCATTGGTAATTCAAAGTTACTCAAACCTGTTGTAAACAAAGGAATAAGGTGTTTTTATTAAAGGTGGATCATTACAAGTCTCTTGAAATATCGATTAACAGCTTTGTGTACAAGAGAACGTTTCTACTCAAGCATTATTATCAGACGTTTCATGAATGACCCATGTGAACTCAGCATCTAACCACGGTATCACCCGTATCTTCTGAGCCTAAAGTTAGACTGCTTCAAGTTCATCCATAAAACTTGACGCCATCAGACTGCTGTTATACCGCTTCCTCAAAATTAGGAATAAAACGTGAAGGCACGCATGCAAGTTTAGTCCATTATGCTTAAGCTTATCTCTAGCACTGTCATGCTGATGCAATGTCTACTTCACTTATTTTTAGCCTCCGCATTTCGGTTAATCTTGGCACTTAGGCTTAACCTTCTCGTAGTCCACTGGTTTGTGAAATTCAACGATGTATTGTGCCTAGTTAGCTAGTCCTTCTAAGCCACCCACAACAGTGAATAATCCCAAAGGGTTTCTACATCCTCCTCTTTGTAATTATGGGATGTGTAGCAGCCAAACGTCATCAAGCTTACGCGTAGGAAATGATCCCAAACTGATCAAAAAAGTTAGATCCAAGGTATACGGTGCTGTTTAAATGTATTAATTAAATAGATAGATAAACCTTGATTGTACGCATTCTTAGTTTTACAAAAATAAGCACTGTAGTAGCAAACAACTGGGTAAATTACGAGAAACCGCCACGCCTGTGGCTGAAAAGAACGCAACTGCGACTACGACGACGGCTACTACTACTACTAATAATAATAATAGTAATAATAGGCAAGTTTCTTAGCAAATGAGTAGCTACGGCCATATTTGGTTCAGATCGTGTATACGTACAGGTAATACCAAGCTCTTGTATGGTCGATTTGAAGTTGTTTTTCATATTTCTCTCTGTTCCTGACAATGTAAATCATACAGCATTGTGTTTTAAGCGAAGGTGGAAGGGAGTGGTGTACTTTCCAGATATTTTAAACACTCAAAGCTACTTATATTGCGTTAAGCTTTGGTATTTCACCCATTATATGTTACCTGGGTTTTTATTAAATAGGCCGGCAGGTGATCTTACTCAAGATTAAAATATCATAATCGTCTCCACGTCCAGGTAACTTTTCATCTAACGACGAAATGATCGCACACGACCTAATTGTGATTGACAGCCGATTTCACAGAACAGCGTAGCTCATGTTTGTTCTGCATCATGGTATAACCAGGGTAAAGTTCTTTTTACGAAGGTCCCATGTGGAACTGTTCTACAATGTTAGTGTGAGTAGATTGGACCGAAGCAGAAATAGTTTAGGATGGGTAGGAAAGTAAATTCTGGACGAGTCCCGTAGGATGGTCAAAGTGAAAAATGCAAGATAGGAGAGGGGTGTCAGTAAAAGATGGTGTGCGATCCATGATTCACCACGAGGTTTGGAGTAGCACATGTATGAGTATTCCTGCCTGGAGTATATCTAAGAGGATTATGATACCGTCCAGTGTTTGTTCAGAACTAATACCATTCTGTACTTGTCATGGGCTATAACACCTATTGTAAATGTGTCAGTGAATCGTCAAGACGTTTTTGAATAGGGACAAGGTGGGGCTCCTGGAGAGCGTTTCATGACTGTGATACTCAGTAGAAAATGATACCCACGGACGCCGCGGATTTTTGGATTACCACGCTGGATTCTACTTTTGCTTCGGGATTACTGTCATACTTGTTTTCCTGTGTGAATTTTGCACCAATATTTTTCTGTTAGTGAATTTTTGGATTTGTGCAAATTTAGTGAATATGCTCCGCGTAATTTCGGGGATCTCATTGATTGGGCCAACTGCCCTCCTTGTCCGCCATCGTGGACTTGTTTTTCAGTAATCGACCATCGTGACCATCACACCGATAACCCGAAATGAAGTATTTTGTGCTAATCAAACTTGTGCTAGGGTAATGAATGTAGCGTTGAAAGGTACAAACTGCATTGACCGGTACCAAGCAACATGCATCAAGGACTGTAGAACCGACATGAAGAAATACAATGCACCGGGTTCACTTTGGTTCTGTCCGAAGTGCACAACGGTTCCACAACTAAAATGCATACTAGCGTTAACACAAGAGTACGACAAACTGGTCGTTGAAAGTGAACATCATTTGAATGCAAAAATTGATTCCCTCCAAGCGACAATAGCACATCTTGCACCTCATCCGTCTCCCCCAATTGCTACCTCGAAACCAACGAAAAGGCCAGGCGTTCACAAGGCCAAGAAATACTAGAATGCTTGAGAACCACGAAGTAAGTCGTCCTCGTGACCACTAGAAGCATGCCTAGCCCCACCGCCCACATCCTCTTATCCAATGTATCAACTGATGCAACCTCGGTAACACCCATCCTTCCGATTGACCAACGAAATCCGAAGCGCTATAAAAGCCGCTTTATCTATGAAACCGTACAGCCGCAAAGCGGGTCAAGTACCATGTGCAACCAGCAGAGAAATCACTAAATCCCTCGATAGTGCTCCGCACATCACCGAAGACTAGGCAGAACTATGGGGTCTTGACACTAATGTTCCTGAGTCCAAGGCAAACTGCTCTAAGAGTAAACAGTAGGATGATTCAAAGCAATGGAATTTCCTTTGTGCTAAAATCGGAGTTCAAACCAGTCCGACTAATTTAATGCACATCACTAGACATCCAACCTAGAATCTTTATGGGGAGTCCTGGCCAATGCGAGTAACATTGGGATCAACAGAGGATGTCGAGATGGTTCTTTTGTCGGCATACCGCCTGCGGACTGAAAACAGTGGGACACGCATATTTCTGAATGTTCCATGGAGCGAACACTAGCAGGACAAAATTAATTCAAACGACTACCACACGGAGAGTAGCGAAAGAATTATTATGTTCATGGCGCGCCTAAGCTACAGACAACCAGCAACGAAGAATCCCACGCTCATGAGTTGGAAGAACGGCGTTACATCTGTGAAGCAATCTGTGTGGGAGACATCATACTTTAGTCGATTTCACGGTTACCTGTGTCACCATACTTTATGGACAGTGGCCCGAGAATACTGAAACCAACGGTGCAGTCAAAACCAATGACCGTGAAGTAAATCCGTAGCTGGCAATTACTACGCAGTACACTTCCTTCGGAACTACGACTGAAGACAACAGTTAGAGAACGGCAGCCACTGGCTGTCCTCGCGGAAACGGCAACATCCGCGACTCTATTTAACCTTTATAGCGATGCAGAAATTTGTGCGCTAAGACCCGTAGCTATTGAGAAGGCTACAGATGGAATATATACCGCAGGTGCAAGGGAGAGCAAAAACAGATCGCATTTCTACAGAGATTTGGCAATTCACCAAAAAAAAGATTAGGTGCCAACCTCTCATCGGTCGGCACAAATCTATCTTTCATGTGCTCCTGGTCAACAGCTTTTGACATCCGAGAAGCTTTACTGTAGGTACGATAACGCTCATGGCTTACTGAGCAAACTTTCCAAAATGCCCCTGCGTCAAGGATCAAAGGTCTGTGACCTCATCGCTATAACGGAGAAGTGGTTAGGCCCTGACATTAATGACATGGAGATCGCACTGCCAAGCATGTCCGTTGTTCTTTACGGCCGACCCAGCAAATGTGGAGGGGTGGCTATGTACTTCTGTAGCGACGTCCAATGTGAGATCATAGAAGATCCGGCCAGCACGGTACAAGCTTCCATTTGTTGCCGTCTAGTTTTAGAAAGCGACGACCCTCGCTTAGTGGCAGTCGTTTAGCACCCTTCTTTCTCCACGCCCGAGATGGACTTCTATCTGGCATCCGCAATAAGGAGGGTGACTAACACAACTTCCAGTCACACTCTCATTACTGGCAAGTACAACATTCACGCTTTGAAATCCCAAGCAGCTCTTGGAGAACAGTTTAGGGCTGATCTACAAGAGTTTGCCTCCAGTTACCCGCTGTATGGCCTCATCAACACTTCCACCCGATTCCGAGAAAAGACAAGCCATCAATACTGGATCGGATATTCACCGATGAAAAACTAATAGCCGGGAGGGTGATCGCCGACGTCCCCTTGGGCCACAGCGATCATGTAATCCCAATACATTTGCTATGCAGCATACCCCGTGGAAATTTCCGACGCAGCAAAACGATTATACGCTATGACATAATTGCTCGACTGGGCGAGACAGCCAACTGGTCCTTTCTGGAAGACGAGGCACTAGCTAGTGCATGGGAGCATTTCATCAGCCAGTTTGATTCTCTGGTTGCCGAAGCATCAGCGACTAAGGCCATCCGCCTGAGAAACGTAGTCTCGTTTCTCCGAAGCGGGACACGCAAGTGTATAGCAATGGGAAGCTCAACCTGGCTTATCTACAAGCTCTCTCCTAGCACCGAGAATTGGAGGGCCTATTTGCTCCAACGTAACCACTGTACACAGGTTGTTTGCGAGGATAGAATGGCGTACCAGTAGAAGTTAGAAATGCGTGTGCCCTAAAAGCACAAGCTTTTTTATCGACTCGTCAACAGACTACGTCAGGTGAAACGGTGAATTCCTCCACTTCAAACAGCGGACGGACCCACACAGACACCGAAGGAGGCGGCGAGTACCCTATGCCCACAAGCTCCTGCAAGATTTCAATGCGATCACAACCCTATGACACTGGTCGTTTCACTCCTAAAACACTCACGTGTCCTTCACAACAGAAGCTGCTGAGTATGCGCAAACACAGCTTTCCTGGTGTTTATAATATACACACGTAATCGCTAGCGGCGGTAGGAGAGAGTTTAGCTGAGCCTTTGGCTCGATCCTCCCAACACTGTTTTGACGAGATGTACGTGCCCAACATGTGGACACACGGGATGATAACTCCTATCCACAAGGGAGACAATCGTTCTAATCCAGCCAAGTATCGTCTCAAAATCTTACTACCGGTTCTTCCGAAGGTCATGGAAGCTATTATTACTGATGTGCTAACTCCCTATTTAGAATAAATTAA